CTTAAAATTCCACACATTTTACATAGATAAAGCCCTTCGTACGGTGTGGGCTCTACTTGTGAATACAATTTTTTTTCATTTTTTTTTTTTTTTTTTAGGCTTGGGCTAGCAGGAATTATTTCAATGAGTCAATCGGAACCTTTTTGCAATCAATCCGAGGGCTGTAACTACAACTAGAATTATTGATGTCCTATGGGACACATCTTTTAGATTTCCACTTCAAGATCCTTGTAGTTTGATGGTCTTTTTAAGCTCTTCAAAGATATATTACAATCTGCAGGTACTGCCATATTAATAAGAAAGCACATTCCTGTTCACGTCTTTGGTCACGATGTCTGGGGGATTAGCTTTGATTGTTCTGCCTGTGTGTCTTGTAAATTCCTATAAAATTGTTACATGTCTTATTTCTGTAACCTGATTTGGGTGGTGTTCAGACCAATTTCTTATAGTTTCCTTTCCGTAACAGTTGCAGATTTTCAAATTCAGATATTAGCCTATTATTATTATTATTATTATTATTATTATTATTATTATTATTATTATTATTATTTGCTACACCTGGGGGCTTTTGCCAGACTCTTGCATCAGTACAATATTAATTTTGATGCAAAAAATCTACATTAGGCAACTATTGATTTCAAATTTCCTCATCGTCGAATAATGGCTAGTATGATAATCAGGCAATAATAAGTTTTTTATTACATATCGTACACCTGTGGCATTTTGCCAGACATCAGTGCAATATTCATTTTAAGGAAAATCGCCGTGAAAAAAGGATTAGAAGTATTCTCAAAGACAATTATTAATATAGGGAATTCAAACATTACTGAATTCACCAAACCTGTGATTTTGGATGAGACTAAGCTTAAGTTATAATGGTTGGTTGCTCATAAAGCCTGATAGGACAGCCAGCCAATCCCTCTTGCGGACATCTGCTTAGGCACATTTGTGTTTGTTCAGAGCCCAACTGTGGTTTATGCTGAAGTTGCAGTTTCTGGAAATGATGAACAGTTTGAAAAAAAAAAGCCAGTTCGCTCAAACCCTCAGTCACGATGGCTTTGTGATTTTTTGCTAACACAACGATCGACGAACAATTTTGTCTAGCTAATTTCGCTCACAGGATTTGGGTCAACCATCGAAACCGGGTCTTATCATCTGGAAGCGAACGTTCTGACAACTCGGCCATGCGCCAGTATTAGGCTAATAAAGCCATAATAATGAATAAAGCAAAATAAATAACCTGCTTTCAAAACGAAATAAAATATATTCAATGGCATTCATATTATTCATGTTTCTGTTAAGGTACGTTTCGTGAGCAGATTATCATCGAACAATAAAATAATTTAAAATTTCCTATTAGGATGTAAGCAACATCTTTCTTCTCTGTTCATTATCAAATGTATTCTAAATATCTTTGAACACCGGCATAAATAAAAGACAATATATATATATATATATATATATATATATATATATATATATATATATATATATATATATATGAGTGAGTGTGTGTGAATAGAAAAATGGAAAATGAAGTCAACACCCAAAGGCGAGAGAGAGTCTGTTTTATGCATAAACGCAATCGTCAAACAATGACCTGGCCTGACGATTGCGTTTAAGCATGAAACAGACTGTCGTCTCTGGGTGCTGATTTCAATGTCCACGTTTATACGCTCTATCCCTGATATTGTGCATTTTAACCTATAAATATAGCATACCTTAAAACTATATTTTATCATATATATGTATGTATGTATGTGTGTGTATATATATATATATATATATATATATATATATATATATATATATATATATTCTGTGTATACCTTATTTTTAATAGATACAATTTATTCCGACAGGAATCGAACCTGTACGGAATCGTCAATTGATTTGACGTGCTATATCACTCAGCTACAGAGAAAGGTCTGGTTATCAAAGTCCAAATTACTGTTTATAAACATCAAATCTTCAAAGATCCTTCCCGAACGATCATATTTGCTCACGAAGCTTATCTTAACGTAAACATTGACAACATATTATTACATAGATTAAGTTCGACAATTATTTAATATATTTTCTGTTTATACATTATTTTTAATAGATGCAATTTATTTAAGTAAATGTCCTGTTATTTAAAAAAAAAAAAAAAGAATAAACAGAATTAATTACATTTACCGGCCTGAATGTTCGAGAAATTTCGTAGAAAATATGCATTCTCCGACAGGAATCGAATGTGTGTCCTATATGAAATTATATTTAAAATGTCCTATATTAAAATAAAGATCATTTACTTAAAAAAATTTATCTATTAAAAATAACGTATAAACAGAAAAAATATTATATGTGTGCGTGTATTTATGTGTGTGTGTGTTTATGTGTGCGTGTGTTTATGTGTGTGCTCGGATTGTAAAATCGGAGAGGCAAGTTAGGATTCCAGTCGTGTTCATTACATTCACTTACGCGTAAATACCGTTGGGAAAGGTATAAATCTATCCCTTCAAAGATATAATGAGACTTCTTATCGAGTCGCTACACTACTCACAGTGCTGCGCACAGAACCTTGCCTAGGGTGTTAAGATTTTAAGATCATTCTTTCTTCTTTGAACACCGGCATAAATAAAAGACAATATATATATATATATATATATATATATATGAGTGAGTGTGTGTGTGAATAGAAAATGGAAAATGAAGTCAACACCCAAAGATGAGAGAGAGTTTTGTTTTATGCATAAACGCAATCGTCAAACAATGACCTGGCCTGACAATTGCGTTTAAGCATGAAACAGACTGTCGTCTCTGGGTGCTGATTCAGGTATGAGTAAATAGTTGAACAGACAGGGCACTATAGCTCAGTCAATTCTAAATTCAAAATTGCAGAAAGGTTGTTTGCAGAACTTGTGGCGCCCTATTGTGCGTCAGTTCTCTGTGATCGGTTCTTCCAAAAAATGTGGAAGGTTCTATACAAACCTGCAACATTATAATCAAATCATATGGGCAGATAGTCTGGCTGTTCAGTTGTAAGAACTGTGCTGCTGTACCCAGAAATTTTGGTTAAAAATCTTTCTTTTTTTTTTTTCTTTCAACAGAGGCGAACTAGAGAAAAAGGGTTTATTTTATTTTGCGCTTTTTCCGAGGAAAACAAAATACCCCCCCCAAAACAAAATACCCCCCCAAAAAAAAAGTTTTACTTTTCTTAATTGCTATTTCACTAAATATTTTTTATTTTATGTACAGTGTAACCCGGTTATAAGAGACCCGGATATAAGAGAAACCCGGATATAAGAGAGATTGTCTCTGGTCCCAAATTAGAGCCTGTGTTAATGTATATAAAATAGACCAAACACGGATATAAGAGAAACCCGGATATAAGAGACTTCTTCTCCAGTCCCGACAACTCTCTTACATCAGGGTTACACTGTATTTATTTTAGTTCGGGTCATACTTTAATTGATTAACTTTTTGTTTAAGGCAGTAAACTTAAGAACCTACAGACGAAATGCAAATTTCATAAAGCTTCTTAAAGCTTAACTAAAAGACAATAAAATATTAAATAATTGCTGAAAATATGTCAATTTGTAAAAATTACTAGGCAGTTAAAAACTAAATAAAAATGCGTTCACTTAGAGTTCATAAATTTATGTCATTTCTAGTCATCCATAAAAGTTGTTATCACCTTAAGTTCGCCTCCATAAATCAATAAAGATCAATGAAAGAGGAACCCATCGTTAAGAAAGGCTTGTATATTGTTTTTTTTATGCTATAAGTAATATTTATTTCAAATCAGATTAATTTAACTTTAAATTTTGTAATTTTACTCAAATAACGTGTCACAAATCTATAATTTAATTTTTAAAGAATTTAAAACCTGATAAATGTGTTTATTAACAATTTAAAAAATGGCCGTTTTTAGGAAAATTTTTAAAAATCGAGCAATTATCTGACATTCCAATGTATATAATTTCTATCTGAAATACACCAGAATATTTTACTTACTTGAAATAATAAATTTCATCCTTTAGCTTTCAATTAAAACTAGAAAGACATCTTCAAGAATGTTTTTTCGTTTTTAAAATTTAATTTTAAATTTTAGGTATCGAAATTCAGTGTAGGTACCTATATATATATATATATATATATATATATATATACCTAGTTATCAAATCCATCAGTTTAACAATATATATATATATATATATATATATATATATATATATATATATATATATATATATATATATACTCGTTTTGTTGAACAAGACAATATGGATTTGTTTATTTTTTTTATTGTGTTTTTCTTGTATATATACAATGTCTTCTTTTCTGAGTTAATGAATGTAAATATTATAAAAATAAAAAGTTTGTTCCGAGCCCTTTCGGTAAAACTGGCATTGGAGCGCTATAATAAATACTCTTTTTTCTCAGGAGATCTTGGAAATTTGGATGGATATTTATTAGTTTCTCAGTTTCAAGTTGGGATAGTAACTGGTATTAGATTTCTATCTGTTTTCTTTATGAGTGAGTTAAATTTCGGTTACAGATGGGAATTTGGTCCTAAATTTAGCTATTCCCTTCGGTTTTCTGTTAGTTTATGGCCAGATTGGTTGATTTATTGTTTGTTGGTACTGAATAGTTGATATTTTCATTAGTATACCATACACACACACACACATATATATATATATATATATAAAACTGATTCACAAAGAGAGCTCAATGTTTTATTCAAACAGCGCATATATATTAAAAATAATAGTAACTTTTATTTTCATTTAAATGGTAATAGTATATGTTTTGTTCTTTTTAATTTAAATGATACATCTCCTAAAAAGTAAATAATCAAATCCTTATATGTTTTTTAATCTTTTAATATTTCGAGAATTCTTTCTCATTAATTTAAATATATAATTATATCCCATAATTTTATTAAATAAGATTATTGAAAATAATTTTCCATTTTTATTTTTCCTCTTTAAATGAGGTCAGTTTACAAGTGTATGTCTCCTCGCACCATTACCATGTCTAGACATAGCCACTCCCTATATACTCTCCTTTCCCACCTCCTCCTCTTTCTTGCTTGTCTTCTCACTAGTCTGTTTCTCTTTTTTTTCTTTTTTCGGTTTTCCTGCCTTTAAAAATTAGTTTATTTTGATTTTTCTTGTTAAACTGATGGATTTGAAAATCCTTGTAATTTAATTTCAATTTACAAGGAGAAATGATCATCATCAATATTATATAGTAATCCTAATTCCTATTGTTTACAATATATATATATATATATAGATATAAGTCAAGATGTGTGTGTGTGTGTAACGAATGCACGGCCGCAATTTATGACGGATTTGCACCAAAATTTACATGCACATGCTCCAAGTTAGTGGGAAGGCCAAGACCGACTTTCCATTTCCCAACTCCCATCGATAGTGGAAATAATCGATTTTTTCATGTTTCTACGGCAGTTTTCATGTAGTTTTCGGCCATTTTCTACTGGCCAGAGTGAGACCATATATCTGGTTGCCACGAATAGGTAGGAAGATTCTATTGGCCAGCGTGAGAGTCAACAGCTGACTGACACGAATGTTAACTAGCATGCTAGCATGCAAAAAAAATCGATAGCTGCATTCGTCACAAGTGGGAAAAATTTAAATCTGCATTGCACTTTACACCAATTGACTCATTCGCTTGCTTAAACTCAACGTTGTTTCTGATTCCGCAGAACTGGGTTGGGTGTGAAAAAGTATTTGTTGTTAACATTCTTTTTTCATTCGATTTTTCCAGTTACGTGTCCTTTTTTAATGCTGATCATTTTGTGTTCATTTTGTTTAGTTCTTTTTTCGTAACAGATTTAATGTTTAGTATAGAGCTTAGAAAAAATTCGCAGTGTGAGATAGGCAAGAAGTAAGGCATGTAGCAACATCAGCACGGCAAAGGGCACTCCTTTAAAGGCAAGGAAGGCCAAAAATATTTTAAGTCAAGTGATAGTGATTGCTGCATGAGTTGTACGATTTTTGAATCAAGCACGGGCAACCCCGGGCCATGCTGCTAGCATATATCTATATATCTATATATATATATATATGTGTGTGTGTGTGTGTGTGTAGGGGTGTATACCAACGGCTATTTTGTTTCTGTGAGGGCATTCTCGTTTGTAGTTGAGTAAACAGGAGTTTCTGCCAGTGTTAAAATTGTGTCGATTGGCATCGACAAACACGTCAAGTAAAGTCATTTTATTGTTAATGTTGAGTTAGTAAGTTAAGTGTAGGACAGACTTATTCTCAAATGCTTCCTTCAGTTTTATTTAATTTTTTCTAAGTGGTTTGCTAATATGAATATGCCATCGATATAACGTGCGTATAGAGGACGGCTTCGTAGAACTATTAAAGACTTTGTTTCCAATATGAGACATGTAGAAATTAGATAGAGTCGTTCTAAGGATCGAACGCAACGCTACGCCGTCATTTTGTGTGTAAATGTTGCTACAGTGGTCGTAAAATGATACTTGCTATATTTATGAGTTAAATTGCTCGATATTAGGGATAGGGCGTTTGTAAATATAAAAGTGGACATTAAGGTCAACACCTAGCGGCAAAAGTTTGTTTTATGCTTAAACGAAATCTTCAGGCTATGACAATCACCGCTGGGTGTCCACATACACACACACACGCACACACACACACACACACACACACATATATATATATATATATATATATATATATATATATATATATATATATATATTATAAATTAATTGATTTAAAATATGTTTTTTCCGCTACACAGTTCTAACCATGTTTAAAAATGGAAGCTAAAAGCCACGAATTTAATTTTGCAATTAAATTAAAGACATTAGTTCCATTTCATCCTCAAGCGAATTTTGGAGTAACGTTTAAAATTACTGGGTTTTAAAGACACAGCTAAAATCACGTTTCCATGGTTACAGATAAATCTACTTCAACTGGACAAGGGGTGTCTGGGTTTTCCTTATGCCTGCATCATTGTATCGGTTATTAGCTACATTTTGGTAAGAGGTTTATATATATATATGTATATATATATATATATATATATATATATATATATATATATATAGAGAGAGAGAGAGAGAGAGAGAGAGAGATGGTTGAATGACACATTAGGTAATGGACTTTTTGATGATTTAGTCTCTAATCTAATCAGTATACAGTGAACTTTTCTAATGCCGTAGTAGAAATAGACAATAGTGTTTATGCCATTTTTAGTAGAATCCTGTAACTATTCAATCGTGAATAGAATGTTATTTTGCTTAACATTCAGGAAATAATGAGCGTAACCAAGAAAATGCGTATCAAAATGAAATTTTCGATTCCGTATAAGGACAATGCAATTATACAATTGCTTAAATGTGGCCGACTTGTGCTGACGTCAGTTTTGAACTAATCGGAAATAAAAAATTGAACCGTCGGAAGTAAAGAATTATAAGCTTGGCGTTGTTTGAAATTCAGAGGTAAAATTCTAAGAATTATTCTGTCGATTTATTTTGTTATCATTGGGAACGATCCAGGAAGCTAAAGTTCTTGGTCGCTATCATTTTGCTGAAGTTCTCGTAAGTTCTCATGAGGTCGAGTCACTTGAAAATACAAGGCTTTAACCATCTACGTCGGACCGTAGATGATGATGATGATGATGATGATGATGATGATATTTTGATGCTGATCCAATCATTTGTCTACGTTGTTTGCATCATCAATTGTCGAAACGAAATAAAATTTTAGAAAAACATGAAGAATAAAATTGTAAACTTTGGTTAAAGTGTGATAACCTCCCAACCAAAAAACGCTTGGACGCTTTTGACCACAGCAAAGACTAACGTGGAAAAGAAGAGATCATTGGCTAACACAAACAAATCGCTTCACTTCTAGAGAATAATGTAACAGTTCGACATTCTCGCCAATTTCAGTAACGCTATTTCTTTCTTCCCTGGGTAGCCGATAAAGGAAGATCGATGTATTGAACTTCTCTACATCCATCAAAATGGGGCGAAAAAAAACACATGAAAACGAAGCTAGTTATACTGGCCTTTTCTACACTCATCAGGCTGGACCAAAGGAAACACCGCAAATAAAATATTCACCTTCCATAAATAGCGGAGTTTTTATTCATCACGATAACCAATAAAATAGCCGAACACACCAGAGATTTGAAACATGAAATCTATGTACAGGAAGAGCTTTTCTTTACACGTCGGAAACTCCCAGCCGATGGTGTTTGATGGCCTATTAATATTTGTTCTTTTAAAACGTCCGCTTGAGATACAGACAGATAAATTTGGACAACTCTCGGCAAAAGTTATGGAGCGTTCTTGGTATGACTATAAACTATATCAGGCATTAAGGCCTCTGATCGCGAGGTTTTGAGGAGCGTGGAACCACCTCTTAATTGTTGTTGTTCCCAGGTCCAACCATGACGCGGGGTGGCAGCACCTGTTAGGGTCCCAGCTAGGGGCAAATAATTAACCTCCAAACAGGAGTCAAAACACTATGAAAGTATATAAATACATTTTTATAGTAAAAACACCAGCAATAATTTTTTGGAAAAAAATTACCAGCAATATATTTTTGGAAAACAATATTACCAGCAATATATTTGACTCTCAGCAAAATCCTCTCAGCAAAAATAAGTCAATTAAACCTGATCTACAAACTGATTTCTCACAAAGAATACATATTCTATTCATACAAACCTCTCCTAAAAATGTTGCCGACATTAAATAACCCATTCAGGTTGATATACCATAAAACAAAATAAACCAAACCAAAGCTATGGAGTCGTTGTATGTTTCATGTCTCCTAAAGGACCTCAAATCAATTGTCTTTCGATGTTAGGGATTTTCGCAAAAGTGTCTTTGAAGTTACGAAAAGATTTAATAGATTTATTCAGTGTCCGCCATATGACGTTCAAGCAGCTATGTATCTAAATAGCTGAAGATTTGTCTAACGTCTCTTTATTATTGACAATTCAACAAAAGAATCCGTTTTTAAGAATCTGTTTTTAACATTTCATCATATTCCTTTTGAACTGAGGATCTCGACTTTGAATTCACAGAATGATGCGAAATTGAATTACCAATTATTATATTTTTAAAAGTTAATTTATATAATTTATTTTACATTATTGAATCACGAGTAATATAAATCCACAATACTTATCAGAGGTCAACTCGAAGTTTCGTATTTCTTATTCAACAGGACTCGGATAGAACCCTTCTTTAGAAATTACGGAACTCCGAGTTAATCTCTGATAAGTATTGGGAACTTATATTACTTCTGATTCGGTAATTAATGATCTGGTTTACGATCGAGCACTTTATTGGTAGAAATTAATTCTGTTCTCCTTGATATACGTTAAATTATATAATTTTGCTTATATCAATAAGTATTATTATTATCTTTATTTTATTATTATTATTATTATTGAAAAATAAAATGATTGACGCAACTCTGTCAATATTTTATAACATTTAAAGAAGATCGCGATTTAAAAAAAGAAAAAGAAAAGACGCAGTGTTTAAAAATGTTTAACAATAGTCTGACAATATGCCAGTCTTCTTCAAATTATGCTTAAAAATTGCATGCAATTATTAAAAAAATATATAAAAAATACAAGTCTTTGTACAAACGTCGTTTGTCTTGAGGAAAATAGTTGTACTGGTAATCAATGCGACAAAGCGAATGGAATGCAACCAGCGTAAATGGTATGCGACTGAAACGTCACTCACATGATGGTACTTCCACGAAATCGCTAAAAAAAGAGCATAGCTTGATGAAAAAGACGCCAACCTTGCCGAAAACTAAATTTTATTGTCTAAATACTTATGTTATTATTAAGAGGAAAGACCAAAGTTTTTTTTAATTATTTTTAAAAAATTTTCCTTCTTTTTAGAACATTCTAAATTTTGATTAAAAAAACCTTTTTTCTATTTGTATCAGCGGAACTAGTAAATAACATAGACAATTTTTTGACCTTTCCTCTTAATAATAACAAACATTTAGACGATAAAATTTTGTTTTCGTCAAGTTTGGCGTCTTTATCATCATGCTATGCTCTTTTTTTAGCGATCTCGTGGAGGTACCTATGGTAATTGCACTCATCTTGAAGTTTTCTGTCAGTTGATTACTTACAGAAAGGAATTAATCAAAAAGTTTTGCATAAATCTTTTGGAACTCTCCTGTCATTCTGTTCATTGCCCAGTGGATTGGGACTTTAGTAGTTTGCACATGTAATAAACTTCATGCGTTTGAAGAGTTGAAAATTAGGGGAATTCTGGGAAATATTTTTTTTTAGAATGAGTACCTTAAGAATGAATTATTATTATTATTATTATTATTATTATTATTATTATTATTCAGAAGGATTATAATAATCTGCTTCTGAAAATTCTAACTACTGTTACAGGTGTTTTCAAACTATCTCGACAATATTTGATACCCTCTGATGTCAAAACTAAAAATTATTTTTCTTTCCTGTGGCAACTAATGATTAATATGTACGAATAGTAATGGTTCTGTTTGTATACATGACTACTCAACGTTAATTTTCTCACTAAGCTAAACATAATCGGACAATATATACCTCGAACTTTCTCAGATAGAGGTAAACATTCATTACTCACCCTTCGTCAGAGATTGCATTCATTACTCGACCTTCCTCAGACAGAGATTGCTTTCATTACTCGACCTTCTTCAGACAGAGAATGCATTCATTACTCGACCTTCCTTAGACAGAGTTTGCATTCATTACTCGACCTTCTTCAGGCAGAGATAGCATTCATTACTCGACCTTCCTCAGACAGAGGTTGCATTCATTACACGACCTTCCTCAGGCAGAGGTTGCATTCATTACTCGACCTTCCTCAGACAGAGGTTGCATTCATTACTCGACCTTCTTCAGGCAGAGATTGCATTCATTACTCGACTTTCATCAGACAGAGGTTGCATTCATTACTCGACCATCTTCAGACAGAGATTGCATTCATTACACGTCCTTCTTCAGAGAGAGATTGCATTCATTACTCGACCTTCGTCAGACAGAGGTTGCATTCATTACTCGACCTTCCTCAGACAGAGATTGCCTTAATTACTCGACCTTCATCAGACAGAGATTGCATTCATTACTCGACCTTCCTCAGACAGAGATTGCATTCATTACTCGACCTTCATCAGACAGAGAATGCATTCATTACTCGACATTCCTTAGACAGAGTTTGCATTCATTACTCGACATTCTTCAGGCAGAGATTGCATTCATTACTCGACCTTCCTCAGACAGAGGTTGCATTCATTACTCGACCTTCTTCAGGCAGAGATTGCATTCATTAGTCGACCTTCATCAGACAGAGGTTGCATTCATTACTCGACCTTCTTCAGACAGAGATTGCATTCATTACACGTCCTTCTTCAGACAGAGATTGCATTCATTAATCGACCTTCGTCAGACAGAGGTTGCATTCATTACTCGACCTTCCTCAGACAGAGATTGCATTCATTACTCGACCTTCCTCAGACAGAGGTTGCATTCATTACTTGACCTTCGTCAGACAGAGGTTGCATTCATTACTCGATCTTCCTCAGACAGAGATTGCATTCATTACTCGACCTTCCTCAGACAGAGGTTGCATTCATTAATCGACCTTCCTCAGAAAGAGATCGCATTCATTACTCGACCTTCATCAGACAGAGAATGCATTCATTACTCGACCTTCCTCAGACAGAGATTGCATTCATTACTCGACCTTCGTCAGACAGAGGTTGCATACATTACTCGACTTTCCTCAGACAGAGATTGCATTCATTACTCGACATTCATCAGACAGAGATTGCATTCATTACTCGACCTTCATCAGACAGAGATTGCATTCATTACTCGACCTTCATCAGACAGAGAATGCATTCATTACTCGACCTTACATAGACAGAGTTTGCATTCATTACTCGACCTTCTTCAGGCAGAGATTGCATTCATTACTCGACATTTCTCAGACAGAGGTTGCATTCATTACTTGATCTTCCTCACACAGAGATTGCATTAATTACTCGACCTTCATCAGACAGAGGTTGCATTCATTACTCGACCTTCCTCACACAGAGATTGCATTCATTACTCGACCTTCCTCAGACAGAGGTTACATTCATTACTCGACCTTCATCAGACAGAGAATGCATTCATTACTCGACCTTCCTCAGACAGAGGTTGCATTCATTACTCGACCTTCCTCAGACAGAGATTGCATTCATTACTCGACCTTCATCAGACAGAGAATGCATTCATTACTCGACCTTCCTCAGACAGAGTTTGCATTCATTACTCGACCTTCTTCAGGCAGAGATTGCATTCATTACTCGACATTCCTCAGACAGAGAATGCATCCATTACTCGAACTTCCTCAGACAGAGATTGCATTCATTACTCGACCTTCTTCAGGCAGAGATTGCACTCATTACTCGACCTTCATCAGACAGAGAATGCATACATTACTCGACCTTCCTCAGACAGAGGTTGCTTTCATTACTCGACATTCTTCAGGCAGAGATTGCATTCATTACTCGACCTTCATCAAAAAAGAGAAAGCATTCATTACTCGACCTTCCTCAGACAGAGGTTGCATTCATTACTCGACCTTCCTCAGACAGAGATTGCATTCATTACTCGATCTTCATCAGACAGGTTGCATTCATTACTCGACCTTCCTCAGACAGAGGTTGCATTCATTACTCGACCTTCCTCAGACAGACAATGCATTCATTACTCGACCTTCATCAGACAGAGAATGCATTTATTACTCGACCTTCCTCAGACAGAGGTTACATTCATTACTCGTCCTTCATCAGACAGAGAATGCATTCATTACTCGACCTTCCTCAGACAGAGGTTGCATTCATTACTCGACCTTCCTCAGACAGAGATTGCATTCATTACTCGACCTTCATCAGACAGAGAATGCATTCATTACTCGACCTTCCTCAGACAGAGGTTGCATTCATTACTCGACCTTCCTCAGACAGAGATTGCATTCATTACTCGATCTTCATCAGACAGGTTGCATTCATTACTCGACCTTCCTCAGACAGAGGTTGCATTCATTACTCGACCTTCCTCAGACAGACAATGCATTCATTACTCGACCTTCATCAGACAGAGAATGCATTTATTACTCGACCTTCCTCAGACAGAGGTTACATACATTACTCGTCCTTCATCAGACAGAGAATGCATTCATTACTCGACCTTCCTCAGACAGAGGTTGCATTCATTACTCGACCTTCCTCAGACAGAGATTGCATTCATTACTCGATCTTCATCAGACAGAGAATGCATTCATTACTCGACCTTCCTCAGACAGAGTTTGCATTCATTACTCGACCTTCTTCAGGCAGAGATTGCATTCATTACTCGACCTTACTCAGACAGAGATTGCATTCATTACTCGACCTTCTTCAGGCAGAGATTGCATTCATTACTCGACCTTCCTCAGACAGAGGTTGCATTCATTACTCGACCTTCCTCAGACAGAGATTGCATTCATTACTCGACCTTCATCAGACAGAGGTTGCATTCATTACTCGACCTTCCTCAGACAGAGGTTGCATTAATTTCTCAAACTTCATCAGACGGAGAAGGCATTCATTACTCGACCTTCCTCAGACAGAGGTTGCATTCATTACTCGAACTTCCTCAGACAGAGAGTGCATTCATTACTCGACCTTCATCAGACAGAGATTGCATTCATTACTCGACCTTCTTCAGGCAGAGATTGCATTCATTACTCGACCTTCCTCAGACAGAGATTGCATTCATTACTCGACCTTCATCAGACAGAGAATGCATTCATTAGTCGACCTTCCTAAGACAGAGATTGCATTCATTACTCGACCATCTTCAGGCAGAGATTGCATTCATTACTCGACCTTCATCAGACAGAGAATGCATTCATTACTCGACCTTCCTCAGACAGAGGTTGCATTGATTACTCGACCTTCATCAGACAGAGAATCCATTCATTACTCGACCTTCCTCAGACAGAGATTGCATTCATTAATCGACCTTCCTCAGACAGAGGTTGCATTCATTACTCGACCTTCCTCAGACAGAGGTTACATTCATTACTCGACCTACATCAGACAGAGAATGCATTCATTACTCGACCTTTCCTCAGACAGGGGTTGCATTCATTACTCGACCTTCCTCAGACAGAGAATGCATTCATTACTCGACATTCCTCAGACAGAGATTGCATTCATTACTCGACCTTCTTCAGGCAGAGATTGCATTCATTACTCGACCTTCCTCAGACAGAGATTGCATTCATTACTCGACCTTCCTCAGACATAGATTGCATTCATTACTCGACCTTCTTCAGGCAGAGATTGCATTCATTACTCGACATTCATCAGACAGAGATTGCATTCATTACTCGACCTCCCTCAGACAGAGATTGCATTCATTACTCGACCTTCCTCAGACAGAGATTGCATTCATTACTCGACATTCATCAGACAGAGAATGCATTCATTACTCGACCCTCCTCAGACAGAGACTGCATTCATTACTCGACCTTCTTCAGGCAGAGAATGCATTCATTACTCGACCTTCCTCAGACAGAGTTTGCATTCATTACTCGACCTTCCTCAGACAGAGATTGCATTCATTACTCGACCTTCATCAGACAGAGGTTGCATTCATTACTCGACCTACCTCAGACAGAGGTTGCATTCATTACTCAACCTTCATCAGACGGAGAATGCATTCATTACTCGACCTTCCTCAGACAGAGATTGCATTCATTACTCGACCTTCCTCAGACAGAGATTGCATTCATTACTCGACCTTCATCAGACAGAGATTTCATACATTACTCGACCTTCTTCAGGCAGAGATTGCATTCATTACTCGACCTTCCTCAGACAGAGATTGCATTCATTACTCGACCTTCATCAGACAGAGAATGCATTCATTAGTCGACCTTCCTCAGACAGAGATTGCATTCATTACACGACCATCTTCAGGCAGAGATTGCATTCATTACTCGACCTTCATCAGACAGAGAATGCATTCATTACTCGACCTTACTCAGACAGAGGTTGCATTCATTACTCGACCTTCATCAGACAGAGAATGCATCCATTACTCGACCTTCCTCAGACAGAGATTGCATTCATTACTCGACCTTCCTCAGACAGAGGTTGCATTCATTACTCGACCTTCCTCAGACAGAGTTTACATTCATTACTCGACCTTCATCAGACAGAGAATGCATTCATTACTCGACCTTCCTCAGACAGAGGTTGCATTCATTACTCGACCTTCCTAAGACAGAGAAGGCATTCATTACTCGACCTTCCTCAGACAGAGATTGCATTCATTACTCGACCTTCCTCAGACAGAGATTGCATTCATTACTCGACATTCTTCAGGCAGAGATTGCATTCATTACTCGACCTTCATCAGACAGAGATTGCATTCATTACTCGACCTTCCTCAGACAGAGATTGCATTCATTACTCGACCTTCTTCAGGCAGAGATTGCATTCATTACTCGACCTTCATCAGACAGAGATTGCATTCATTACTCGACCTTCCTCAGACAGAGATTGCATTCATTACTCGACCTTCATCAGACAGAGAATGCATTCATTACTCGACCTTCCTCAGACAGAGATTGCATTCATTACTAGACCTTCCTCAGACAGAGATTGCATTCATTACTCGACCTTCATCAGACAGAGAATGCATTCATTACTCGACCCACCTCAGACAGAGATTGCATTCATTACTCGACCTTCCTCAGACAGAGATTGCATTCATTACTCGACCTTCCTCAGACAGAGATTGCATTCATTACTCGACCTTCCTCAGACAGAGATTGCATTCATTACTCGACCTTCTTCAGGCAGAGATTGCATTCATTACTCGACCTTCATCAGACAGAGAATGCATTCATTACTCGACCTTCATCAGACAGAGGTTGCATTCATTACTCGACCTTCCTCAGACAGAGATTGCATTCATTACTCGACCTTCATCAGACAGAGAATGCATTCATTACTCGACCTTCCTCAGACAGAGATTGCATTCTTTACTCGACCTTCCTCAGACAGAGAATGCATTCATTACTCGACCTTCTCAGACAGAGGTTACATTCATTACTCGACCTTCATTAGAGAGAGAATGCATTCATTACTCGACCTTCCTCAGACAGAGGTTGCATTCTTTACTCGACCTACCTCAGACAGAGATTGCATTCATTACTCGACCGTCATCAGACAGAGGTTGCATTCATTACTCGACCTACCTCAGACAGATGTTGCATTCATTACTCAACCTTCAACAGACGGAGAATGCATTCATTACTCGACCTTCCTCAGACAGAGATTGCATTCATTACTCGACCTTCCTCAGACAGAGATTGCATTCATTACTCGACCTTCATCAGACAGAGATTTCATTCATTACTCGACCTTCTTCAGGCAGAGATTGCATTCATTACTCGACCTTCCTCAGACAGAGATTGCATTCATTACTCGACCTTCATCAGACAGAGAATGCATTCATTAGTCGACCTTCCTCAGACAGAGATTGCATTCATTACTCGAACATCTTCAGGCAGAGATTGCATTCATTACTCGACTTACATCAGACAGAGAATGCATTCATTACTCGACCTTCCTCAGACAGAGGTTGCATTTATTACTCGACCTTCATCAGACAGAGAATGCATTCATTACTCGACCTTCCTCAGACAGAGATTGCATTCATTACTCGACCTTCCTCAGACAGAGGTTGCATTCATTACTCGACCTTCCTCAGACAGAGGTTACATTCATTACTCGACCTTCATCAGACAGAGAATGCATTCATTACTCGACCTTCCTCAGACAGAGGTTGCATTCATTACTCGACCTTCCTCAGACAGAGAAGGCATTCATTACTCGAACTTCCTCAGACAGAGATTGCATTCATTACTCGACCTTCTTCAGGCAGAGATTGCATTCATTACTCGACCTTCCTCAGACAGAGATTGCATTCATTACTCGACCTTCCTCAGACAGAGATTGCATTCATTACTCGACCTTCTTCAGGCAGAGATTGCATTCATTACTCGACCTTCATCAGACAGAGATTACATTCATTACTCGACCTTCCTCAGACGGAGATTGCATTCATTACTCGACCTTCCTCAGACAGAGATTGCATTCATTACTCGACCTTCCTCAGACAGAGAAGGCATTCATTACTCGACCTTCCTCGGACAGAGATTGCATTCATTACTCGACCTTCCTCAGACAGAGATTGCATTCATTACTCGACCTTCCTCAGACAGAGATTGCATTCATTACTCGACCTTCTTCAGGCAGAGATTGCATTCATTACTCGACCTTCATCAGACAGAGAATGCATTCATTACTCGACCTTCATCAGACAGAGGTTGCATTTATTACTCGACCTTCCTCAGACAGAGATTGCATTCTTTACTCGACCTTCCTCAGACAGAGAATGCATTCATTACTCGACCTTCTCAGACAGAGGTTACATTCATTACTCGAACTTCATTAGAGAGAGAATGCATTCATTACTCGACCTTCCTCAGACAGAGGTTGCATTCATTACTCGACCTACCTCAGACAGAGATTGCATTCATTGCTCGACCTTCATCAGACAGAGGTTGCATTCATTACTCGACCTTCCTCAGACAGATGTTGCATTCATTACTCGACCTTCATCAGACAGAGAATGCATTCATTACTCGACCTTCCTCAGACAGAGATTGCATTCATTACTCGACCTTCCTCAGACAGAGGTTGCATTCATTACTCGACCTTCCTCAGACAGAGGTTACATTCATTACTCGACCTTCATCAGACAGAGAATGCATTCATTACTCGACCTTCCTCAGACAGAGGTTGCATTCATTACTCGACCTTCCCTCAGACAGAGAAGGCATTCATTACTCGACCTTCCTCAGACAGAGATTGCATTCATTACTCGGCCTTCCTCCTTCTTCAGGCAGAGATTGCATTCATTACTCGACTTTCCTCAGACAGAGAATGCATTCATTACTCGAACTTCTCAGACAGAGGTTACATTCATTACTCGACCTTCATCAGAGAGAGAATGCATTCATTACTCGACCTTCCTCAGACAGAGAGGTTACATTCATTACTCGACCTTCCTCAGACAGAGATTGCATTCATTACTCGACCTTCATCAGACAGAGGTTGCATTCATTACTCGACCTACCTCAGACAGAGGTTGCATTCATTACTCAACCTTCATCAGACGGAGAATGCATTCATTACTCGACCTTCCTCAGACAGAGATTGCATTCATTACTCGACCTTCTCTCAGACAGAGATTGACATTCATTACTCGACCTTCATCAGACAGATTGCATTCATTACTCGATTTCATTCATTACTCGACCTTCTTCAGGCAGAGATTGCATTCATTACTCGACCTTCCTCAGACAGAGATTGCATTCATTACTCGACCTTCATCAGACAGAGAATGCATTCATTAGTCGACCTTCCTCAGACAGAGATTGCATTCATTACTCGACCATCTTCAGGCAGAGATTGCATTCATTACTCGACCTTCATCAGACAGAGAATGCATTCATCGACCTCAGACAGACCTTGCATTCAGACAGAGGTTGCATTCATTACTCGACCTTCATCAGACAGAGAATGCATCCATTACTCGACCTTCCTCAGACAGATGTTGCATTCATTTGACCTTCATTACTCTGCATTCATTACTCGACCTTCCTCAGACAGATGTTGCATTCATTACTCGACCTTTCAGACAGAGATTGCATCTATTACCGACCTTCAGACAGACATTGCATTTTTACATTCATTACTCGACCTTCATCAGACAGAGAATGCATTCATTACTCGACCTTCCTCAGACAGAGGTTGCATTCATTACTCGACCTTCCTAAGACAGAGAAGGCATTCATTACTCGACCTTCCTCAGACAGAGATTGCATTCATTACTCGACCTTCCTCAGACAGAGATTGCATTCATTACTCGACATTCTTCAGGCAGAGATTGCATTCATTACTCGACCTTCATCGACAGAGATTGCATTCATTACTCGACCTTCCTCAGACAGAGATTGCATTCATTACTCGACCTTCCTCAGACAGAGATTGCATTCATTACTCGACCTTCTTCAGACAGAGATTGCATTCATTACTCGACCTTCCTCAGACAGAGATTGCATTCATTACTCGACCTTCCTCAGACAGAGATTGCATTCATTACTCGACCTTCATCAGACAGAGATTGCATTCATTACTCGACCTTCCTCAGACAGAGATTGCATTCATTACTCGACCTTCCTCAGAGATTGCATTCATTATTGCATTCATTACTCGACCTTCTTCAGACAGAGATTGCATTCATTACTCGACCTTCATTATTCGACCTCGACCTTCCTCAGACAGAGATTGCATTTTTACCTTCATCCTCGACCTTCTTCGACCTTCACAGAGATTGCATTCATTACTCGACCTTCCTCAGACAGAGATTGCATTCATTACTCGACCTTCCTCAGACAGAGATTGCATTCATTACTCGACCTTCCTCAGACAGAGATTGCATTCATTACTCGACCTTCCTCAGACAGAGATTGCATTCATTACTCGACCTTCTTCAGACAGAGATTGACATTCATTACTCGACCTTCATCAGACAGAGAGAATGACCTTCCCTCAGACAGATGTTGCATTCATTACTCGACCTTCATCAGACAGAGGTTGCATTCATTACTCGACCTTCCTCAGAGAGATTGCATTCATTACTCGACCTTCATCAGACAGAGAATGCATTCATTACTCGACCTTCCTCAGACAGAGAGATTGCATTCTTTCCTCGACCTTCCTCAGACAGAGAATGCATTCATTACTCGACCTTCTCAGACAGAGGTTACACCTTCTCAGACAGAGAATGCATTCATTTCATTCCTCAGACAGAGATTGCATTCATTACTCGACCTTCCTCAGACAGAGGTTGCATTCTTTACTCGACCTTCCTCTCGACAGAGATTGCATTCATTACTCGACCGTCATCAGACAGAGATTGCATTCATTACTCGACCTACCTCAGACAGATGTTGCATTCATTACTCAACCTTCATCAGACGGAGAATGCATTCATTACTCGACCTTCCTCAGACAGAGATTGCATTCATTACTCGACCTTCCTCAGACAGAGATTGCATTCATTACTCGACCTTCATCAGACAGAGATTGCATTCATTTCAGACAGAGAATGCATTCATTACTCGACCTTCCTCAGGCAGAGATTGCATTCATTACTCGACCTTCCTCAGACAGACAGATTGCATTCATTACTCGACCTTCATCAGACAGAGAATGCATTCATTACTCGACCTTCCTCAGACTCAGACAGAGATTGCATTCATTACTCGAACATCTTCAGACAGAGATTGCATTCATTACTCGACCTTCATCAGACAGAGAATGCATTCATTACTCGACCTTCCTCAGACAGAGGTTGCATTTATTACTCGACCTTCATCAGACAGAGAATGCATTCATTACTCGACCTTCCTCAGACAGAGATTGCATTCATTACTCGACCTTCCTCAGACAGAGATTGCATTCATTACTCGACCTTCCTCAGACAGAGGTTGCATTCATTACTCGACCTTCCTCAGACAGAGGTTGCATTCATTACTCGACCTTCATCAGACAGAGAATGCATTCATTACTCGACCTTCCTCAGACAGAGAGGTTGCATTCATTACTCGACCTTCCTCAGACAGAGATTGCATTCATTACTCGACCTTCCTCAGACAGATTGCATTCATTACTCGACCTTCTTCAGACAGAGATTGCATTCATTACTCGACCTTCCTCAGACAGAGAATTGCATTCATTACTCGACCTTCCTCAGACAGAGGTTGCATTCATTACTCGACCTTCCTCAGACAGAGATTGCATTCATTACTCGACCTTCATCAGACAGAGATTTCATTCTATTTTCATTACTCAGACAGACCTTTACTCGACCTTCCTCAGACACAGAGATTGCATTCATTACTCGACCTTCCTCAGACAGAGATTGCATTCATTACTCGACCTTCCTCAGACAGAGATTGCATTCATTACTCGACCTTCATCAGACAGAGAATGCATTCATTACTCGACCTTCCTCAGACAGAATTGCATTCATTACTCGACCTTCCTCAGACAGAGATTGCATTCATTACTCGACCTTCCTCAGACAGAGATTGCATTCATTACTCGACCTTCCTCAGACAGAGATTGCATTCATTACTCGACCTTCTTCAGGCAGAGATTGCATTCATTACTCGACCTTCATCAGACAGGAGAATGCATTCATTACTCGACCTTCATCAGACAGAGGTTGCATTCATTACTCGACCTTCCTCAGACAGAGATTGCATTCATTACTCGACCTTCATCAGACAGAGAATTGCATTCATTACTCGACCTTCCTCAGACAGAGATTGCATTCTTTTCCTCGACCTGCATTCATTCAGACAGAGAATGCATTCATTACTCGACCTGACCTTCAACAGACAGAGATTGCATTCATTCTCAGACAGCAGAGATTGCATTCATTACTCGACCTTCATCAGACAGAGAATGCATTCATTACTCGACCTTCCTCAGACAGAGGTTGCATTCTTTACTCGACCTTCCTCAGACAGAGATTGCATTCATTACTCGACCGTCATCAGACAGAGATTGCATTCATTACTCGACCTTCCTCAGACAGATGTTGCATCATTACTCGACCTTCCTCAGACCTTACTCGACCTTCATCAGACAGACCTTCATTCTCGAGACAGACAGAGAATGCATTCATTACTCGACCTTCCTCAGACAGAGATTGCATTCATTACTCGACCTTCCCTCAGACAGAGATTGCATTCATTACTCGACCTTCATCAGACAGAGATTTCATTCATTACTCGACCTTCTTCAGGCAGAGATTGCATTCATTACTCGACCTTCCTCAGACAGAGATTGCATTCATTACTCGACCTTCATCAGACAGAGAATGCATTCATTAGTCGACCTTCCTCAGACAGAGATTGCATTCATTACTCAGACGAACATCTTCAGACAGAGATTGCATTCATTACTCGACTTCAGACAGAGATTGCATCAGACAGAGAAATGCATTCATTACTCGACCTTCCTCAGACAGAGGTTGCATTCATTACTCGACCTTCATCAGACAGAGAATGCATTCAGACAGAGATTACTCGACCTTCCTCAGACAGAGATTGCATTCATTACTCGACCTTCCTCAGACAGAGATTGCATTCATTACTCGACCTTCCTCAGACAGAGGTTACATTCATTACTCGACCTTCATCTGGACCTTCCTCAGACAGAGATTGCATTCATTACTCGACCTTCCTCAGACAGAGGTTGCATTCATTTACCTTCTCGACCTTCCTCAGACAGAGAAGGCATTCATTACTCCTCAGACGAACTTCCTCAGACAGAGATTGCATTCATTACTCGACCTTCTTCAGACAGAGAATTGCATTCATTACTCGACCTTCCTCAGACAGAGATTGCATTCATTACTCGACCTTCCTCAGACAGAGATTGCATTTCATTACTCGACCTTCTTCAGGCAGAGAGATTGCATTCATTTCGACCTTCCTCAGACCTTCATCAGACAGAGATTACATTCATTACTCGACCTTCCTCAGACGGAGATTGCATTCATTACTCGACCTTCCTCAGACAGAGATTGCATTCATTACTCGACCTTCCTCAGACAGAGAAGGCATTCATTACTCGACCTTCCTCGGACAGAGATTGCATTCATTACTCGACCTTCCTCAGACAGAGATTGCATTCATTACTCGACCTTCCTCAGACAGAGATTGCATTCATTACTCGACCTTCTTCAGGCAGAGATTGCATTCATTACTCGACCTTCATCAGACAGAGAATGCATTCATTACTCGACCTTCATCAGACAGAGGTTGCATTTATTACTCGACCTTCCTCAGACAGAGATTGCATTCGACCTTCTCGACCTTCCTCAGACAGACAGAGGTTGCATTCATTACTCGACCTTCTCAGACAGAGGTTACATTCATTACTCGACCTTCATCAGACAGAGAATGCATTCATTACTCGACCTTCCTCAGACAGAGGTTGCATTCATTACTCGACCTTCCTCAGACAGGATTGCATTCATTGCTCGACCTTCATCAGACAGAGGTTGCATTCATTACTCGACCTTCCTCAGACAGATGTTGCATTCATTTCGACCTTCATCAGACAGAGATTGCATTCATTTCGACCTTCCTCAGACAGATGCATTCATTACTCGACCTTCCTCAGACAGAGATTGCATTCATTACTCGACCTTCCTCAGACAGAGATTGCATTCATTACTCGACCTTCCTCAGAGACCATTCATTTCGACCTTCCTCAGACAGAGATTGCATTCATTACTCGACCTTCCTCAGACAGAGATTGCATTCATTACTCGACCTTCCTCAGACAGAGATTGCATTCATTCATCAGACAGAATTTACTCGACCCTCAGACAGAGATTGACTCGACCTTCATCAGACAGAGAATGCATTCATTACTCGACCTTCTCAGACCAGAGGTTGCATTCATTACTCGACCTTCATCAGACAGAGAATGCATTCATTACTCGACCTTCCTCAGACAGAGATTGCATTCATTACTCGACCTTCTTCAGACAGAGATTTCAGGCATTCATTATTCGACCTTCCTCAGACAGAGGTTGCATTCATTACTCGACCTTCCTCAGACAGAGATTGCATTCATTACTCGACCTTTCAGACATTATTCATTCGACCTTCATCAGACAGAGCATTCATTTGCATTCATTATTCATTCTCGACCTACCTCAGACAGAGGTTGCATTCATTACTCAACCTTCATCAGACGGAGAATGCATTCATTACTCGACCCTTCCTCAGACAGAGATTGCATTCATTACTCGACCTTCCTCAGACAGAGATTGCATTCATTACTCGACCTTCATCAGACAGAGATTTCATTCATTACTCGACCTTCTTCAGGCAGAGATTGCATTCATTACTCGACCTTCCTCAGACAGAGATTGCATTCATTACTCGACCTTCATCAGTCAGAGAATGCATTCATTAGTCGACCTTCCTCAGACAGAGATTGCATTCATTACTCGACCATCTTCAGGCAGAGATTGCATTCATTACTCGACCTTCTTCAGACAGAGAATGCATTCATTACTCGACCTTCCTCAGACAGAGGTTGCATTCATTACTCGACCTTCATCAGACAGAGAATGCATTCATTACTCGACCTTCCTCAGACAGAGATTGCATTCATTACTCGACCTTCCTCAGACAGAGGTTGCATTCATTACTCAACCTTCCTCAGACAGAGGTTACATTCATTACTCGACCTTCATCAGACAGAGAATGCATCCATTACTCGACCTTCCTCAGACAGAGTTTGCATTCATTACTCGACCTTCCTCAGACAGAGAAGGCATTCATTACTCAACCTTCCTCAGACAGAGATTGCATTCATTACTCGAACTTCTTCAGGCAGAGATTGCATTCATTACTCGACCTTCCTCAGACAGAGATTGCATTCATTACTCGACCTTCCTCAGACAGAGATTGCATTCATTACTCGAACTTCCTCAGAGAGAGATTGCATTCATTACTCGACCTTCCTCAGACAGAGATTGCATTCATTACTCGACTTTCTTCAGGCAGAGATTGCATTCATTACTCGACCTTCATCAGACAGAGAATGCATTCATTACTCGACCTTCATCAGACAGAGGTTGCATTCATTATTCGACCTTCCTCAGACAGAGGTTGCATTCATTACTTGACCTTCCTCAGACAGAGATTGCATTCATTACTCGACCTTCTTCAGGCAGAGATTGCATTCATTACTCGACCTTCATCAGACAGAGAATGCATTCATTACTCGACCTTCATCAGACAGAGGTTGCATTCATTACTCGACCTTCCTCAGACAGAGGTTGCATTCATTACTCGACCTTCCTCAGACAGAGATTGCATTCATTACTCGACCTTCATCAGACAGAGAATGCATTCATTACTCGACCTTCCTCAGACAGAGATTGCATTCTTTACTCGACCTTCCTCAGACAGAGAATGCATTCATTACTCGACCTTCTCAGACAGAGGTTACATTCATTACTTGACATTCATCAGAGAGAGAATGCATTCATTACTCGACCTTCCTCAGACAGAGGTTACATTCATTACTCGACCTTCCTCAGACAGAGATTGCATTCATTACTCGACCTTCATCAGACAGAGGTTGCATTCATTACTCGACCTACCTCAGACAGAGGTTGCATTCATTACTCAACCTTCATCAGACGGAGAATGCATTCATTACTCGACCTTCCTCAGACAGAGATTGCATTCATTACTCGACCTTCCTCAGACAGAGATTGCATTCATTACTCGACCTTCATCAGACAGAGATTTCATTCATTACTCGACCTTCTTCAGGCAGAGATTGCATTCATTACTCGACCTTCCTCAGACAGAGATTGCATTCATTACTCGACCTTCATCAGACAGAGAATGCATTCATTAGTCGACCTTCCTCAGACAGAGATTGCATTCATTACTCGACCATCTTCAGGCAGAGATTGCATTCATTACTCGACCTTCTTCAGACAGAGAATGGATTCATTACTCGACCTTCCTCAGACAGACGTTGCATTCATTACTCGACCTTCATCAGACAGAGAATGCATTCATTACTCGACCTTCCTCAGACAGAGATTGCATTCATTACTCGACCTACCTCAGACAGAGATTGCATTCATTACTCGACCTTCATCAGACAGAGGTTGCATTCATTACTCGACCTACCTCAGACAGAGGTTGCATTCATTACTCAACCTTCATCAGACGGAGAATGCATTCATTACTCGACCTTCCTCAGACAGAGATTGCATTCATTACTCGACCTTCCTCAGACAGAGATTGCATTCATTACTCGACCTTCATCAGACAGGGATTTCATTCATTACTCGACCTTCTTCAGGCAGAGATCGCATTCATTACTCGACCTTCCTCAGACAGAGATTGCATTCATTACTCGACCTTCATCAGACAGAGAATGCATTCATTAGTCGACCTTCCTCAGACAGAGATTGCATTCATTACTCGAACATCTTCAGGCAGAGATTGCATTCATTACTCGACCTACATCAGACAGAGAATGCATTCATTACTCGACCTTCCTCAGACAGAGGGTGCATTTATTACTCGACCTTCATCAGACAGAGAATGCATTCATTACTCGACCTTCCTCAGACAGAGATTGCATTCATTACTCGACCTTCCTCAGACAGAGGTTGCATTCATTACTCGACCTTCCTCAGAGAGAGGTTACATTCATTACTCGACCTTCATCAGACAGAGAATGCATACATTACTCGACCTTCCACAGACAGAGGTTGCATTCATTACTCGACCTTCCTCAGACAGAGATTGCATTCATTACTCGACCTTCCTCAGACAGAGATTGCATTCATTACTCGACCTTCTTCAGGCAGAGATTGCATTCATTACTCGACCTTCCTCAGACAGAGATTGCATTCATTACTCGACCTTCCTCAGACAGAGATTGCATTCATTACTCGACCTTCTTCAGGCAGAGATTGCATTCATTACTCGACCTTCATCAGACAGAGATTGCATTCATTACTCGACCTTCCTCAGATAGAGATTGCATTCATTACTCGACCTTCCTCAGACAGAGATTGCATTCATTACTCGACCTTCATCAGACAGAGATTGCATTTAATACTCGACCTTCCTCAGACAGAGGTTGCATTCATTACTCGACCTTCCTCAGACAGAGGTTACATTCATTACTCGATCTTCATCAGACAGAGAATGCATTCATTACTCGACCTTCCTCAGACAGAGAAGGCATTCATTACTCGACCTTCCTCAGACAGAGATTGCATTCATTACTCGACCTTCTTCAGGCAGAGATTGCATTCATTACTCGACCTTCCTCAGACAGAGTTTGCATTCATTACTCGACCTTCATCAGACAGAGAATGCATTCATTAGTCGACCTTCCTCAGACAGAGATTGCATTCATTACTCGACCATCTTCAGGCAGAGATTGCATTCATTATTACTCGACCTTCATCAGACAGAGAGAATGCATTCATTACTCGACCTTCCTCAGACAGAGGTTGCATTCATTACTCGACCTTCATCAGACAGAGAATGCATTCATTACTCGACCTTCCTCAGACAGAGATTGCATTCATTACTCGACCTTCCTCAGACAGAGGTTGCATTCATTACTCGACCTTCCTCAGACAGAGGTTACATTCATTACTCGACCTTCATCAGACAGAGAATGCATTCATTACTCGACCTTCCTCAGACAGAGGTTGCATTCATTACTCGACCTTCCTCAGACAGAGAAGGCATTCATTACTCGAACTTCCTCAGACAGAGATTGCATTCATTACTCGACCTTCTTCAGGCAGAGATTGCATTCATTACTCGACTTTCCTCAGACAGAGAATGCATTCATTACTCGAACTTCTCAGACAGAGGTTACATTCATTACTCGACCTTCATCAGAGAGAGAATGCATTCATTACTCGACCTTCCTCAGACAGAGGTTACATTCATTACTCGACCTTCCTCAGACAGAGATTGCATTCATTACTCGACCTTCATCAGACAGAGGTTGCATTCATTACTCGACCTACCTCAGACAGAGGTTGCATTCATTACTCAACCTTCATCAGACGGAGAATGCATTCATTACTCGTCCTTCCTCAGACAGAGATTGCATTCATTACTCGACCTTCATCAGACAGAGATTTCATTCATTACTCGACTTTCTTCAGGCAGAGATTGCATTCATTACTCGACCTTCCTCAGACAGAGATTGCATTCATTACTCGACCTTCATCAGACAGAGAATGCATTCATTAGTCGACCTTCCTCAGACAGAGATTGCATTCATTACTCGACCATCTTCAGGCAGAGATTGCATTCATTACTCGACCTTCTTCAGACAGAGAATGCATTCATTACTCGACCTTCCTCAGACAGAGGTTGCATTCATTACTCGACCTTCATCAGACAGAGTTTGCATTCATTACTCGACCTTCCTCAGACAGAGAAGGCATTCATTACTCAACCTTCCTCAGACAGAGATTGCATTCATTACTCGAACTTCTTCAGGCAGAGATTGCATTCATTACTCGACCTTCCTCAGACAGAGATTGCATTCATTACTCGACCTTCCTCAGACAGAGATTGCATTCATTACTCGACCTTCATCAGACAGAGAATGCATTCATTACTCGACCCTCATCAGACAGAGATTGCATTCATTACTCGACCTTCCTCAGACAGAGATTACATTCATTACTCGAACTTCCTCAGAGAGAGATTGCATTCATTACTCGACCTTCCTCAGACAGAGATTGCATTCATTACTCGACCTTCTTCAGGCAGAGATTGCATTCATTACTCGACCTTCATCAGACAGAGAATGCATTCATTACTCGACCTTCATCAGACAGAGGTTGCATTCATTACTCGACCTTCCTCAGACAGAGATTGTATTCATTACTCGACCTTCATCAGACAGAGAATGCATTCATTACTCGACCTTCCTCAGACAGAGATTGCATTCTTTACTCGACCTTCCTCAGACAGAGATTGCATTTAATACTCGACCTTCCTCAGACAGAGGTTGCATTCATTACTCGACATTCCTCAGACAGAGGTTACATTCATTACTCGATCTTCATCAGACAGAGAATGCATTCATTACTTGACTTTCCTCAGACAGAGGTTGCATTCATTACTCAACCTTCATCAGAGGGAGATTGCATTCATTACTCGACCTTCCTCAGACAGAGGTTGCATTCATTACTCGACCTTCCTCAGACAGAGGTTACATTCATTACTCGACCTTCATGAGACAGAGAATGCATTCATTACTCGACCTTCCTCAGACAGAGATTGCATTCATTACTCGACCTTCCTCAGACAGAGATTACATTCATTACTCGACCTTCATCAGACAGACAATGCATTCATTACTCGACCTTCCTCAGACAGAGTTTGCATTCATTACTCGACCTTCTTCAGGCAGAGATTGCATTCATTACTCGACCTCCCTCAGACAGAGATTGCATTCATTACTCGACCTTCTTCAGGCAGAGATTGCATTCATTGCTCGACCTTCCTCAGACAGAGGTTGCATTCATTACTCGATTGCCTCAGACAGAGATTGCATTCATTACTCGACTTTCATCAGACAGAGAATGCATTCATTACTCGACCTTCCTCAGACAGAGATTGCATTCTTTACTCGACCTTCCTCGGACAGAGAATGCATTCATTACTCGACCTTCCTCAGACAGAGGTTACATTCATTACTCGACCTTCATCAGACAGAGAATGCATTCATTACTCGACCTTCCTCAGACAGAGGTTGCATTCATTACTCGACCTTCCTCAGACAGAGATTGCATTCATTACTCGCCCTTCATCAGACAGAGGTTGCATACATTACTCGACCTTCATCAGACAGAGAATGCATTCATTACACGACCTTCATCAGACAGAGAATGCATTCATTACTTGACCTTCATCAGACAGAGATTGTATTCATTACTCGACCTTCATCAGACAGAGATTGCATTCATTACTCGACCTTCATCTGACAGAGAATGCATTAATTACTCGTCCTTCATCAGACAGAGAATGCATTCATTACTCGACCTTCCGCAGACAGAGATTGCATTCATTACTCGACCTTCTTCAGACAGAGATTGCATTCAATACTCGACCTTCATCAGACAGAGATTGCATTCATTACTCGACCTTCCTCAGACAGAGGTTGCATTCATTACTCGACCTTCCTCAGACAGAGATTGCATTCATTACTCGACCTTCCTCAGACAGTGATTGCATTCATTACTCGACCTTCATCAGACAGAGGTTGCATTCATTACTCGACCTTCCTCAGACAGAGGTTGCATTCATTACTCAACCTTCATCAGACGGAGAATGCATTCATTACTCGACCTTCCTCTGACAGAGATTGCATTCATTACTCGACCTTCCTCAGACAGAGATTGCATTCATTACTCGACCTTCATCAGACAGAGATTGCATTCATTACTCGACCTTCTTCAGGCAGAGATTGCATTCATTACTCGTACTTCCTCAGACAGAGATTGCATTCATTAATCGACCTTCATCAGACAGAGAATGCATTCATTAGTCGACCTTCCTCAGACAGAGATTGCATTCATTACTCGACCATCTTCCGGCAGAGATTGCATTCATTACTCGACCTTCATCAGACAGAGAATGCATTCATTACTCGACCTTCCTCAGACAGATGTTGCATTCATTACTCGACCTTCATCAGACAGAGAATGCATTCATTACTCGACCTTCCTCAGACAGAGATTGCATTCATTACTCGACCTTCCTCAGACAGAGGTTGCATTCATTACTCGACCTTCCTCAGACAGAGTTTACATTCATTACTCGACCTTCCTCAGACAGAGGTTGCATTCATTACTCGACCTTCATCTGACAGAGAATGCATTCATTACTCGACCTTCCTCAGACAGAGATTGCATTCATTACTCGACCTTCCTCAGACAGAGGTTGCATTCATTACTCGACCTTCCTCAGACAGAGATTACATTCATTACTCGACCTTCCTCAGACAGATAATGCATTCATTACTCGACCTTCTTCAGACAGAGGTTGCATTCATTACTCGACCTTCCTCAGACAGAGAATGCATTCATTACTCGACATTCCTCAGACAGAGATTGCATTCATTACTCGACTTTCTTCAGGCAGAGATTGCATTCATTACTCGACCTTCCTCAGACAGAGATTGCATTCATTATTCGACCTTCCTCTGACAGAGATTGCATTCATTACTCGACCTTCTTCAGGCAGAGATTGCATTCATTACTCGACCTTCATCAGACAGAGATTGCATTCATTACTCGACCTTCCTCAGACAGAGATTGCATTCATTACTCGACCTTCATCAGACAGAGAATGCATTCATTACTCGACCTTCCTCAGACAGAGATTGCATTCATTACTCGACCTTCCTCAGACAGAGATTGCATACATTACTCGACCTTCCTCAGACAGAGATTGCATTCATTACTCGACCTTCCTCAGACAGAGATTGCATTCATTACTCGACCTTCTTCAGGCAGAGATTGCATTCATTACTCGACCTTCATCAGAAAGAGAATGCATTCATTACTCGACCTTCCTCAGACAGAGGTTGCATTCATTACTCGCCCTTCCTCAGACAGAGATTGCATTCATTACTCGACCTTCATCAGACAGAGTTTTCATTCATTACTCGACCTTCTTCAGGCAGAGATTGCATTCATTACTCGACCTTCCTCAGACAGAGATTGCATTCATTACTCGACCTTCATCAGACAGAGAATGCATTCATTAGTCGACCTTCCACAGACAGAGATTGCATTCATTACTCGACCATCTTCAGGCAGAGATTGCATTCATTACTCGACCTTCATCAGACAGAGCAGTAATTCATTACTCGACCTTCCTCAGACAGTGGTTGCATTCATTACTCGACCTTCATCAGACAGAGAATGCATTCATTACTCGACCTTCCTCAGACAGAGATTGCATTCATTACTAGACCTTCCTCAGACAGAGATTGCATTCATTACTCGTCCTTCATCAGACAGAGAATGCATTCATTACTCGACCTTCCGCAGACAGAGATTGCATTCATTACTCGACCTTCTTCAGCCAGAGATTGCATTCAATACTCGACCTTCATCAGACAGAGATTGCATTCATTACTCGACCTTCCTCAGACAGTGCTTGCATACATTACTCGACCTTCCTCAGACAGAGATTGCATTCATTACTCGACCTTCCTCTGACAGAGATTTCATTCATTACTCGACCTTCATCAGACAGAGGTTGCATTCATTACTCGACCTTCCTCAGACAGAGGTTGCATTCATTACTCAACCTTCATCAGACGGAGAATGCATTCATTACTCGACCTTCCTCAGACAGAGATTGCATTCATTACTAGACCTTCCTCCGACAGAGATTGCATTCATTACTCGACCTTCATCAGACAGAGATTGCATCATTACTCGACCTTCTTCAGGCAGAGATTGCATTCATTACTCGTCCTTCCTCAGACAGAGATTGCATTCATTAATCGACCTTCATCAGACAGAGAATGCATTCATTAGTCGACCTTCCTCAGACAGAGATTGCATTCATTACTCGACCATCTTCAGGCAGAGATTGCATTCATTACTCGACCTTCATCAGACAGAGAATGCATACATTACTCGACCTTCCTCAGACAGAGTTTACATTCATTACTCGACCTTCCTCAGACAGAGGTTGCATTCATTACTCGACCTTCATCAGACAGAAAATGCATTCATTACTCGACCTTCCTCAGACAGAGATTGCATTCATTACTCGACCTTCCTCAGACAGAGATTGCATTCATTACTCGACCTTCCTCAGACAGAGGTTACATTCATTACTCGACCTTCATCAGACAGATAATGCATTCATTACTCGACCTTCCTAAGACAGAGGTTGCATTCATTACTCGACCTTCCTCAGACAGAGAATGCATTCATTACTCGACCTTCCTCAGACAGAGATTGCATTCATTGCTCGACTTTCTTCAGGCAGAGATTGCATTCATTACTCGACCTTCCTCAGACAGAGATTGCATTCATTACTCGACCTTCCTCAGACAGAGATTGCATTCATTACTCGACCTTCTTCAGGCAGAGATTGCATTCATTACTCGACCTTCATCAGACAGAGATTGCATTCATTACTCGACCTTCCTCAGACAGAGATTGCATTCATTACTCGACCTTCATCAGACAGAGATTTCATTCATTACTCGACCTTCTTCAGGCAGAGATTGCATTCATTACTCGACCTTCCTCAGACAGAGATTCCATACATTACTCGACCTTCCTCAGACAGAGATTGCATTCATTACTCGACCTTCCTCAGACAGAGTTTGCATTCATTACTCGACCTTCTTCAGGCAGAGATTGCATTCATTACTCGACCTCCATCAGAAAGAGAATGCATTCATTACTCGACCTTCCTCAGACAGTGGTTGCATTCATTACTCGACCTTCCTCAGACAGAGATTGCATTCATTACTCGACCTTCATCAGACAGAGATTTCATTCATTACTCGACCTTCTTCAGGCAGAGATTGCATTCATTACTCGACCTTCCTCAGACAGAGATTGCATTCATTACTCGACCTTCATCAGACAGAGAATGCATTCATTAGTCGACCTTCCTCAGACAGAGATTGCATTCATTACTCGACCATCTTCAGGCAGAGATTGCATTCATTACTCGACCTTCATCAGACAGAGAATGCATTCATTACTCGACCTTCCTCAGACAGAGGTTGCATTCATTACTCGACCTTCATCAGACAGAGAATGCATTCATTACTCGACCCTCCTCAGACAGAGATTGCATTCATTACTCGACCTTCCTCAGACAGAGGTTGCATTCATTCCTCGACCTTCCTCAGACAGAGGTTACATTCATTACTCGACCTTCATCAGACAGATAATGCATTCATTACTCGACCTTCCTAAGACAGAGGTTGCATTCATTACTCGACCTTCCTCAGACAGAGAATGCATTCATTACTCGACCTTCCTCAGACAGAGATTGCATTCATTACTCGACTTTCTTCAGGCAGAGATTGCATTCATTACTCGACCTTCCTCAGACAGAGATTGCATTCATTACTCGACCTTCTTCAGACAGAGATTGCATTCATTACTCGACCTTCCTCAGACAGAGATTGCATTCATTCATTCAGACAGAGGTTCGACTCGACCTTCCTCAGACAGAGATTGCATTCATTACTCGACCTTCTTCAGACAGAGATTGCATTCATTACTCGACCTTCCTCAGACAGAGATTGCATTCATTACTCGACCTTCCTCAGACAGAGACACTGACCTTCATCAGGGTTGCATTCATTACTCGACCTTCCTCAGACAGAGATTGCATTCAGACAGAGGGATTGCATTCATTACTCGACCTTCCTCAGACAGAGATTGCATTCATTACTCGACCTTCCTCAGACAGAGATTGCATTCATTACTCGACCTTCCTCAGACAGAGGTTGCATTCATTACTCGACCTTCCTCAGACAGTGATTGCATTCATTACTCGACCTTCATCAGACAGAGATTGCATTCATTACTCGACCTTCCTCAGACAGAAGTTACATTCATTACTCGACCTTCATCAGACAGAGAGTGAATTCCTTACTCGACCTTCCTCAGACAGAGATTGCATTCATTACTCGACCTTCATCAGACAGAGATTGCATTCATTACTCGACCTTCCTCAGACAGAGGTTACATTCATCACTCGACCTTCCTCAGACAGAGATTGCATTCATTACTCGACCTTCATCAGACAGAGATTGCATTCATTACTCGACCTTCATCAGACAGAGATTGCATTCATTACTCGACCTTCCTCAGACAGAGGTTGCATTCATTACTTGACCTTCCTCAGATAGTGGTTGCAGTCATTACTCGACCTTCCTCAGACAGAGATTGCATTCATTACTCGACCTTCATCAGACAGAGGTTGCATTCTTTAATCGACCTTCCTCAGACAGAGGTTACATTCATTACTCGACCTTCCTCAGACAGAGATTGCATTCATTACTCGACCTTCATCAGACAGAGATTGCATTCATTAATCGACCATCCTCAGACAGAGAATTCATTCATTCCTCGACCTTCCTCAGACAGAGGTTGCATTCATTACTCGACCGTCCTCAGACAAAGATTGCATTCATTACTCGACCTTCATCAGACAGATATTGCATTCATTACTCGACCTTCCTCAGACAGAGATTGCATTCATTACTCGACCTTCCTCAGACAGAGATTGCATTCATTACTCGACCTTCATCAGACAGAGGTTACATTCATTACTCGACCTTCCTCAGACAGAGATTGCATTCATTACTCGACCTTCATCAGACAGAGTTTGCATTCATTACTCGACCTTCCTCAGACAGAGATTGCATTCATTACTCGACCTTCATCAGACAGAGATTGCATTCATTACTCGACCTTCCTCTGACAGAGGTTACATTCATTACTCGACCTTCCTCAGACAGAGATTGCATTCATTACTCGACCTTCATCAGACAGAGTTTGCATTCATTACTCGACCTTCATCAGACAGAGATTGCATTCATTACTCGACCTTCCTCAAACAGAGGTTGCATTCTTTACTCGACCTTCCTCAGATAGTGGTTGCAGTCATTACTCGACCTTCCTCAGACAGAGATTGCATTCATTACTCGACCTTCCTCAGACAGAGGTTGCATTCATTACTCGACCTTCTTCAGACAGAGATTGCATTCATTACTCGACCTTCTTCAGACAGAGATTGCATTCATTACTCGACCTTCCTCAGACGGAGGTTGCATTCATTACTCGACCTTCTTCACACAGAGATTGCATTCATTAGCTCTTCAGTATCACCCAATAGATTTTGCATCTATTTTACTGCGATAAATTATCAGCTACTTCAGCCTCCAAAATCCGATTTAGTTTGTTAATTAGATTTGAATAGTTCAACATTTCTAACTATCAATGTATTGAAAAGTTTCTTTTTTCTTCTCTCTCTCTCTCTCTCTCTCTCTCTCTCTCTCTGAAAGTAAACAAGCTGATACAGTAAATATCGATATTACACGGAATGGCCCAAGATCCTAACAAAGCATGATCAACTATGACTGAAACGCACAATCGCGGGATATTCAATAAAATTTGATGACAGGATTATTTCCAAGGGAGATAATTGGGTTTGCAGTTCGGCTTTGAGATGTTTCAGCACAAAGAACTCCGGCTTTAGCTTTAACCAACAAGAGTTTCACAGAATTATTCGATGTTTGCTTAGCCGCTAACTGGTTGACGATAAAAGGTTTCTTTTTATTTCCTATGAAGTCTTTCAGTAGCCTTTAATCGTAAGCAATAATATCATATCACTCAAACTCTTCTTTCATCTATTACAGTATATATTTACTAGTTTCCATGTGCGGGAAGCGTAACAGTCATGAGCGTGAAAAAGGTGATCGACGAGCTAAATTCCGACCATAGCAGCTGCATTCACTTTCACACAAATGTCTTCGTGAAAATCATAAAGCCATCACTTCATCTCTTAGCCATAGCTGTATAGAGTGGGCCTTGAATGGCAGCTTGTTCAACAGAATATCTATGTTGAATTCAAAACCGTCGATAAGTCAACGGGAAACTACTTTTCTATCTTTGCCAAGAAATATTGGTAATTCCCAGATAAAAAGAAGAGTCGGGACTAGCTACGTCCTGAAGAGAACGGGCAAGAGAATTATGAGTTTAATCGTTGCGTAAAAAAAAAAATTATAGAAGTTTTTTTTTGTTTTGTTTTTAACTGCAATTTATTTATATATTTATTTTTAATTTTAATTTTATTGCTTATGTTTGTAGTATTTTCGTGACATAACGAAGTAGTCAAATCATAGATGCATGACAATAAGTCAAAAATAACTATATATAATTATTTCGATTTTGACGTAAACGAAGAAGACGCTATCTTCGTCTGCAGCAAGTTGCGCAACACCCGTGACTAACGAAGGTCTATCATTACGTGACGATAAATCCATCGGAGATGCCCAATGTTTTTATCGAGCCACATTCTCTAGACGCAATGACAACAATTCTACCCATTAATAATGATAATTGTAATATTAACCGTCTCCTTATAAATAATTCTTGGGGTGAGAAAAGATGGAGTCATGCATTTCCCAAGGGTATTTGCGCGTAAGTGGACATAACGAACTCGACACGAATTGGAACTCGGCTCTCCGATTTCAAATTCCTAGCCGTTATCCATTACACCACCTGCACATACAAGCTTACAGCACCTGCTATTCCTAACCGGTTACCCATCTATATATTGACAAGGCTCAACATTGCTTAGATCCAGTGATCGCACGAGAACTAGTGTTTCAACATGATATGGCTGTAAGACCTTCTAGTATTGACGAGTGTTTCCTACATAACCTTTTGTTTACGCTTGCAAGGCAGTCAACATTTTCATTATATGAGTATTTTCCCTTTCGAGTTAGATGTTTAAATCATTCTTCTTGTTGCTGCTGTCGAAAATCTTCAAGTGATGCCTTTTTGGTTATTTAATAAAGTTCTTTGTGATTCTGTAGTGACAGCCTATAAGACCTGATGAATGATTATCTTCTTTAAAACCTACGGGATTTCTTCGCTTGAATCTAATTTTAATCATTGATCCTAACACTGAGTTCTATGCATGGAATTCAAATGAGAATTCAGATCTGCGAAAGCTATTTAAGAACACGACTCGGGCTTTTTAGGCTAATATTTGAGTTTGTAAGATATTGCGGTGTTAGGTGAAACTACGTCGAGTGCAGCCCATTCTACAGGTGCAAAGTATGCGTTTGAGTCCAGGATACCGAGGGTTATTTTACTCGCCGTCCATCCCATTTGAAAGAGTAAAAATTCTTACAGAAGTTAGTGAATTTAAGTGAGAAGAAAGGCTTAAACATCAACTTCAAGACAAAATGCATGTTTGCTAGCAAAATGATGATCCCAAAGTGAAAATTACAAATTGGAGATATCAAAATCAATCTCAGTACAAAAATTTAAATATCTGGAACGTGTTTTTGCAGAGGACAGAAAGTGCGACACTGAAATCCAAAGGCGTACTGGAATAGCCAAATATGCATTCCAAAAAATTTAAGCAGAATATTAAGAAACAGAAAAACTTCGTTAGAAACAAAGAAAAGATTACTGAACTGTTACGTGATATGAGTCTTCCTCATATGGCACTGAATGCTGGACAATATCCTCACAAAGAAAAAACAAACTTAGCAACAGAAATGTGGTTCTACAGAAGAATACTGAGGATAACATGTGCTGAACATGTGAGCAACGACGAAGTTTTAGAGAAAATGGAAACAAAATTTAACATACTTAACATCGGGAAGAGATAGTTGAAATTTCTAGGTTACATAATGAGGAAAGTGGGCTTGGAAAATCTGATACTCACAAGACAGATTGAAGGAACAGGGGAAAGCAACGCTTATCCTACTTAGTGAGTCTGATTAGATGGATGGTGGAGCAAGGTTTAGGAGACATAACAAAAAGACAAAATTTTATAAGAGCTACAAAGGACAGGAAATTGTGGAGAGTCATGATCGCCTACGTCCTGAAGAGAAACGGTACATAAAAAAAGTATAACACAGTACATGTTCAGCTAAATCTAGCATAAAGCCCCATGAAGATGCTGAGTCCAATCCTTGCCAGGACTCCTTGCTTGTGGCCTTGTACCAAAACTAAGTACAATGAGTAACAGCATTTAGTCGTAACAACATCATGGGCTTGCCTTTTTTTTTAATTTGGGTGCGAACCTCGATCAACGGCTCCAATATAAAATAAGCAAAAACAACAACATCAGCCACGAAGCAGGTGTCTGTTTTATCGCTATACGTACTCAGTAATATTAGATTGATCTAGGGCAGTGTTTGGTGTGAAGTGGAGGACGTGATAATTTTTATTCGCGCATGGAGGGTCAATCTTAAAAATCAGCTATTGACTTTAACTAAGCTCGAACCCTCACCACTGACGCCACTTGAAAATAGCAACTACTTCTTGCCATGAATCAGAACTCTGCTCATTTTGGTTGGTAAAATAGGTGACCCGGTGATAAATTTAAATCTTGGTCAGGTCATTATTTAGATTTATTTCTAAAATGTCCCAAACACTCGCTAAAATAAGCTTTGTGGACGTATAGAAATTTCAAAACGATTTACAAAATTTCAAAACGTCCTAAAGATTTTCCTCGGATTTTTTTTTCAAAATAATGTGAAAATTAAATTATTATTTTCAACAATATGTAACCAATCCTGTCGTTCAACACGTGATAAATATTGTTGAAACCTTATATTTTTATAGAAAGATTCGCCGATTTCACAAAAAAAAAAAAAAAACACTGTCTGGGTTGATTAAAATCTCATAAATAATGAATATTGAAGCAAAACATACAACAAGCATTTAACATAAATGAATTACATTAAACAAAATTTTAAAACGGATGCTACTAAAACATTATGCAAATGCAAAATGTCTATCATCAGCGTTAATAATCTTAATTAGATGTTTCTATATAAATGAAAAATATTTCTATCGACATCGTTGTCGCTAATATCATTAATTTCATTAGACATCTGAATCATCATTTTTATGATCAGATATTTATATAGATAGGTGTAATTTAGTAAATTACTAATGAAAGAAGACTATATTGCGCCAGAGTTTCCTGTGAAAAAACGTCTGCCTTCCTATCATAAAAATCAGATACCTTAAAACTGGTGTTTATTATTAAGAAATAGCTACAACAACCACTAAGATGGTATCGCTCCATCACGAGAGAAGAGGGTGTGTTTTTTTTTGTCCACAATAAGAATAAGAAATGACTTTTTAATTCTATCTTGCCGACAAATGGTAAGAGTCTGAAAAGCGGCAAGAATAAATCTAATCTTGATGCGTTGCAGCTGTGTTTGAAAATGGAATTCGTTTCCTGATTTCGATTCCATTTCCAGACCAGCTTTCAATTCCAAATCTATTTTTTGTTTGCAGCCAACTTTAGATATTTACTTATCCCCTTCCTGGTCCGCCTTGAATATAAATGGATAGTGAGTTAAACAAGAACTCACGAGTTATCTACAACTCAAGATACCTAGCCATGGAGCAAGACGGGTTGGTCGCCCAGTAATCATTTACATTGATCAGCTATATTATGAAGCTTAATGCCAACCTAATGACATTCTGACCTTGATATAAAAAAAACATGTTTGGCGTGCTAGACTCATGAATGTCTGTATAAAAAAATAATAATAAAAGATGAATATTTAGTTATTCCTACAGAAAGGTACACAATTTTTATGAGTTTTCACAACCACCCAATATATACATTGTCATGCAAAACTTTTCAGCCACCTCGGTAACTTTATTACTTTTGTTAATTTTACCGTCAAATCGAGACTAATGATCGGAAGGCTTTCCTCGGTATATTTTATGTTCTTTGAGTGCCAAAAAGCAAGTTACTTCATTGTCGTTAATGTTTTAAGACGTTTAATGTTAACAAAGATTTGAAGGGTGAAACTTGAACGCGTGAACTTTCTTTAGCATCAGTATTTTTAAGATGCTCTGTCATCCACCATGATCTTCTGTTACACGGCTCTTTCAAAAAAAAACAACAACTTATTTTCGAATCCTCAAAGAAACAATTAATTAATTAAAAACATACTGCTAAACAATCTTAATCGCTATCTATAAAAGGCAGGATGTGTGTGTGTGTGTGTGTGTGTGTGTGTGTGTGTGTGTGTGTGTGTGTGTGTGTGTGTGTGTGTAACGAATGCACGGCCGCAATTTTCGCCGGATTTGCACCAAAATCTACATGCACATGCTCCAAGTTAGTGGGAAGGCCAAGACCGACTTTGTATTTCCCAACTCCCATCGATACTGGAAATAATCGATTTTTTCATGCTTCTACGGCAGTTTTCATGTAGTTTGCGGCCATTTTCTACTGGCCAGAGTGACAGCCTATAGCTGGCTGCCACGAATAGGCAGGAAGATTCTATTGGCCAGCGTGAGAGCCAACAGCTGACT